CAGAAAATCAGGGAAGACAGAAAAAAAGAAACCCAAAACCAAAATGAATGAATTGGAAATTTGTACATTTATAGATATAAAATCTTGCCAGAAATATTGTGAGATATATTACAAAGTAAGCTTTTCAAGCCAAAGTTAAAGCTGCAAGTAATACAATCCAAGATAAATATGCAAATCCCGTGCCAAAACTCATGGTTACTTTCCCAGAAAAGATTGACTGCACTCTCAGTGTGGGATTTACAGAAGGTGCCGTTTGAACTGACGTCATTACTAAATAAAGAAAAAAATTCCGGATAACAAAGAAGCAGAAGTTTGAAACTTATTTATCCTTGTTTTTGTTGTTATTGATTTGTTTGGTTTTTTAAAATTGAAATTAACTTTATTACAAGTAGTTGACCATTCAAAACATATAGGGCAAACAAACCAAGAAAATTAGTTGTCATGGGTCAAAAACAAAAAAAATAAATAATAAAAAAGGTTGACTGCGTACAAAGCCTTTTCATTCATCGATTTTTAAGGTTTTTTTCATTGTTTATTTATTTATTATTTATTTGTTTGCGTGAACACTTACGTCAAACGTCGAGCCTGGGCGCCATCTTGTGGCCGAAACGGTCACAGCGCTTGCATTGGTTTAGAAAAAAAGAAACACGCTTGTGCAAAAACTACTTTTGTACAAAGTACTTCCGGTGGGGTCACGGACTAGCTTTTCTGAGCGGATTTTTCCCGTGTTCGCCGACGGCTGTTTTCCTCCCATGTGAGCGTGTTCTCGTAGTTTCTGCGTTTCTCCTGTAAATATTTTTCATTAACAGCCGCTTTCCTCAAACCGCTCACTCTCTGCACGACTTTACGACGCGCTTAGACAAGCGAGGCAAAAGAGGAAGCAATAGCCAACCATCTTTCGTCTCCTGCCAGCAATAACAAGACAGCGACGAGGCTAGGTTCAAGTGGAGCTTCTGTAGTTTGTGATTTATTGTCTGTTTTATACAGGATAGAGGACTTGGGTTTAACCTCTCCGCGTTAAGGCAGATAAAAGCTCTCGGACGCTGAGCTTTTCCCCCCTCCCGGCGACCCTGGAAGTTTCCGATCAGAAGACTGACTGTTAAGAATTAGTATTCCCGTTTTTTCATGTTTCCAACAGGTTTATCTTCCCCTAATCCCCCACCACCGCCAACCCAGGAGGCTAGACCCGCGGCTACTGATGTCAAAACCGACAGCGGTAACATCACATCTACGAAAAAGAGGAAAATAAACGGCTCCGAGAGGGAAGACACTAGTGACACGATCTCCTCTTCGCCTCCAAAGACCCTGAATTCCTCCTCCTCCTCCTCTTCCTCTTCCTCTCCCACTCCGCTGCACATTCAGAAGAAGTTGAGGTTTGAGGATTCAGTGGATTTCATTGGACTCGATGTGAAAATGGCTGAGGAGGCTGCTGCTGCTGCTTCGTGCTCCAATAACAAAAGCAAAGCCATGTTCCTGCCCGGCGGCGTGGGGCACCACGCAAACGGACTGACGAAAACTGCAGGATCCACCACCTTCTCCAACAGTAAACCCGGTGCTGCCAAGAAACTAGTCATCAAGAACTTCAGAGGTAGACACTGGTGGATGATGGGGTCCAAGCTCCCAAAAAAAAAACACACCTTAAACTTACAAATCCCTGCTATATCACAATGATATGGTCCCAGCTCATTTTAAACAGCTATCTTAGAGTTTAATGCTTAAAAATTGTACCATAACATAGAACAAAGATATCACAGGCTTTGGCAAACTTGGGAAAAATGTGTATTTCCTTGATTAGTAATCATGGTAACTATAAATAAGTTAAGAAGTCCCTTTGATTTTGCTAAATCAAACCACCTGTATGGATAGTTTAAACCTATAATTGGGTTTCACTTGCCCCTATCCAAAATCAGGAGCTACAGTTAAAGCTGCCAGATCTGTAAATATGGCAGATTTCTGGTAAACATTGCTGCGAGCTGAGCGCAGCCATCCTCTCTTTCCAACAGCAGTACCTGCAGCATGGATGGGTGAGTCTAAAGAGAGGGAAAGCATGTACTCCACTCCACTAAAATAATTAAATTTTTTTCTCTTTGTGGGGCAGTAACCGTCTGATCTGTTGGCCTGTTAAGCTGAACACTGGAGGACATTATCACTTGTTTAAGTAGAGGCCTATTTCCACTTGCATACAAAAAAAGAGGACTTAGGTATGTGGACATCCCACCAAACGACAGTTATTAATGACTGTAGGTGTAGCATGTTCTTTAACTGTTTTTTAAAGTTTAATTTGCCTGAGCATAAAATACGTTTGTTTATAAAATGGCCTGGGGAAAAAAGTAATGGTAAACATTGACAGACTATTGTTGCAGGGTTCAGTGTCATCGATGGGCTGTAAAACAAACTATGTTAGGCCAGCCTCAAGTCCATCTGGGCCACTGGTGGCGTTTCTATTAATAGATTCAAGTAAAGTATTAGATTGTAAATAAAACAGTCCACTTAAAGGCTGTACGGCCTTCTGGTATTGTGATATATTTACCATTAGGTTGAAGGTGTTGCTTTTCATCACAGAGCAGTTGTTTGCAGTGGAGTGCCGTCTGTTCAACATGAGTGAAATAACAGCACTGACTTTTCACAGTCGTTGTTTTGAAATCCAAGAACATAAATCTTTTTTGTATTTTGTTTTCCAGAAGTTTCGGGTCCGATTATTCTTTAAAGACATCAGGAGCCAAGCAGTTTTTGTCCTCGGGCCATATTTTCCCTATGCGTGCAGTACCGTCATGTATGACAGGGGTCTTCGTTAAAATATCGATTAGTCTTTCATCAAACCGCTTGTGTGGGTAGCTTGAACTAAAAGTGAACATTAAATTGACCTTAGGAGTTATTATCTCGAAATCTTGACTTACTGGATGAAACTAAGTTGAGAATTTTAAA